GACCCCTCCTTGGGTTTCCGAGGCAGTATCACTACGGAAGTAGGATTGCCCAACCTTCCTTCCGAGGAGTGGCTGCTGGGTTTGAACCACCAGCCGTCTGATTAGCAGGCAAGTGTCTTAGCCACTATGCTACCAGAGCTCCCTCATATTGGAGCCCTGGCTTCAAAGTCTGCACAAAAGAGGGTTGTCTCAGAACTGCAGAGACAAAGAAGTTTCCCAAACTGGCCCACTTAACATATTTTTACACAAATAATGCGCAAGCTCCACGCCCTTGCCAGCCACACCCTCCCGCCTTCTAGGTATTTTCCTAAGCAAGCTATTCTACTTTTTTAACAGCAGTATGTGAAATGTGCTTTTGAAATGCCTTGTGAGGGAGGGTGCAATTAGCAAAATAACATACAAAACACATTATAAAAAATACATTGTAAAAATACGCTACTCTGGCTGCATCCTTGTTTTTCCCACTCTCCCACCTTGGTATCTATAGGCAAAATAAGGGAATCCTATTTCTCAGCAGGGAATAAGACTTCTTTTGTCCACTATTGTTGACAGGGTTCCTGATGTATTTCCATTGCCAGTGGTGTTAGGCTCACCTGGTGTTTTTAGAGGGATTGTCATTTGATTTGGTGAAGGAATGAGCCTTCTTGGCTCATATAACTTGGAAATAATTCAGAAAAAAGAGGGTGAAAATGGTGCACAACTCAAACGTAATCAATGTTACTGTATTGTACATGCAAAAACTGTTCAATTGTTACATGTTCTGCTGTGTGTATTTCTCAACAACAACAGCACAAAATGAAATAATTTTAAAAGATGCTTTCTTATGCTGCAGAGAAGCTAGAGTGAGATCTTTAGCTGCCTACAGGGCTACAGGTGGAGGCAGGGGTCGGGGATGAGGGCACAGAGTTCTTGGGAGGACCAGACCACATAGCACAGAAAGATAAATTCCTGACTCTTTGCCAGTTTTGCATATACCAAGATTTCTTTTGTTTTTCTTACTTAATGGCATTGGTCAGGTAAAAGAAACTTAGTGGGTTGACAAACCTTCTCAAAAATTCAAAGAAAAAGTGAGTACCCCCCTAGCTTCCTAGATTCAATAGCTGTGTTCTCTGTCATAGACCCGACACCTGGTTCAGCTGCTTCCCTGCCAGAAGCTGGCCATTTAACCTGGCAACCGATGGTCTTGATGAATTGAGAGAAGCGTTTTAAGGTAGACACAAATGCAGCAGCTTTTAACTCCATGCAATTTTCCTCTTCCCAATGTTCTCCTCCCCATGTTTTCCCATTTCCCATAAAGCCTCCATCCAAAAAGAAAATTGGCTTTCAGAAACCAGCTACTCATTGCAATGAAAACTTCATGGCAGAAAGCTATGTGGCCCCCTCCTGTCTGTCTTATTTTTTCTTGGGAGTTAGCCACATTTCTGGCTGTGCTTAAATGCTGACTTACAAATGTCTTGAGAATGTCCAAAATAAGAAACATAGAAATTGGGTATTTGGGAGCCATTAAAGCTTTCCAGAAGTTTTCCCCCTAGAAACAGATTTGGGAGGTATTATTTGACCATTATTTTTATTCTCTAGTTTGGTTCCCAATACCTGTTGTGGGATTGGCTGATGGTGGGAATTTATGATCCGGTAAGACAAAGTCTTTGAAGGTCAATCTTAGCAAAAGTGTTTGAAAGGCGAGTAAGCACACTGCTCGCTCAAAGCAAGCCTTTTGTGCCTAGAAACAAATATTACTTGAATACCTATTTTGTGTCAGAATTAGTGCTAAGCATGGGGAAACAATAATGCACACAAGGCAGACATAATAATTCCTGCCAGTAGTGTCAATGCAGCAAGAGGCTACTTACCATAATCCTGATTTAAACATTTTCAATGTTTTTTTAAATAGAAGCTATATACATACATTAAAAATTTGTAAGAGATGATCAAAACTTTCACCTCAGAATTAGGCTTGTAACTCAAATTTTAAAGAGAAAATATATTTTTAAGTATACTAGATACTGTTCTGTAAGTAGATAACACCTGGCAAAGCAAAATCTCCAGACCCGTTTTATTCCTGTTTCCCAATTCTTAGCACAATAATCTAAACTGAAATTCTGAAGAAAAGTAGGTTTCCAGAAATTGTCCACTCCTAATATAATGGGAATATACTTCAGAGCTAAGAAGTACATATTTTCGGATTAATTTTTTTAAAAAATAGCATAGCTTTCAGTTAGTGCACGTTATTATCTAAGATATCCTTCTAGCCCAGAGCTATCTAATAGAGGGACCATTCTACAATGATGGAAGTGTTTTATCTCTGCACTGTCCATGGGTAGCCACTACCCACATCTGGATATTAAGCACTTGAAATGTGGCCAGTGTAACTGAAGAACTGAATTTTAAAAATTATGATAAATATATACATAACAACAAATATGCAATTTCAAAATTCTTCATATGAACAACTCAGTATCGTTATATGTGTTTATCACATTGTGAAAGTATTACCATTATCCATTTCAAAATTTTTCCATCATCCTTAACAGAAGCGCAGTGTCCCCTAAGCACTGAGTTCCCCTTTCCTCCTCACCTCTGCCCACCCCT